AAAAGTATTTTCACTTTGCTAATAATTTTATATATGTATTATTCGGTTGATAAACAACCTTTGGAAACTAGAAAATTTTGTTGAATTGTAGAGGTATTTATTCTATAAGGTCATATATTATTATTTTTTGAATCTTAAGGAGCTGTAAATTGCATGTAACATCAAGTGTCACTGATGAATAAGAAAATTAGTATATGTATTTTTTTTTTTTGTCGTACAGAAATAACAAGCTTGTTCTGCGGTCAGTTCCCAGCCTGGGGAGATAGGACATTGCCTGTTAGCAAGCTTAAAGAAGAAGGCTTTTTGGAGAATGACAAACTGATCGTTAAAGTCGAAATAAAAGCAATTGAAGTAGGAAACGCAACCGGGATGGAGATGTTTGAAATCAAAGGTTTTGAGGTTTTTTCTGATCAGGTATTTTAAAGCTTCTCGATTTTCTGTTCTTTTTTTTTTATAACCGGATTTTGTTGTTAAATTATTACTTCCTCCATTCATAAGTTGTTTCAGAGAGAAAAAAAAATTGTTTCAAAATTTAAGATGTTTACAATTTTGTAGGCATGTTTTAAATTTATTTAATATTTAATGACTATTTGTATTTAGCGGCTTTTTCACGATTGGTTTGAATTATTTTTAAAAAATAATAAATGATAATTTTTAATTTTTGTGTTTTTACTTAGAAACATCCTATAGCTTTTTTGAAACATGTGGAGTATTTGATCTTATAGCTTTTTTTGTTATTTTCGCAGGTTGTCTCTGTGAGCCGGCTTTTCTTAAAGCACCCGGACGTTGCAGTAGATTTCAAACCAAAGGCCAAAGAACTGAAGACAGCATACATGAATCTTCTCATCAGTCTCATCGAGACATTACGCAAGCCTCCACAGCGCTTGTCTGAGACTGAGCTTTGCAAAGCTGAGAGCAAGTTGAGCGACCTAACAGAAGCGGGTTTCAAGCTAGATTGGTTAAAGAAAAAGCTTGATGAGGTTCCCTTGAAGAGGAAGATTGCAATTTCTGATGGCTCTCGGGTCGAACAAGTGGAGGAACGCATCCAGAATCTGAAGCTGGCTTTGTCGGATCTCAATGTTGAACTTGAAAGTGAGATGGCTAAATCTGCTGCTGCTGCTAAACTTTTGTCGCTTGACGACATTATTTAATTTAAACATGTTTGAGTTAAGGTATTAGATTGACAAAACCGAAACCCTTAACGAATTTTCTATGCAAAAGCATTACATTTTATAAGCATTGATAGGTTAAATCAATTATTTATGTTTAGTTGAGAAATAGGTTTTTTTTCTTTATCTGGTACGGTTTATTCCATGTTTCGTTTCATTGTCGTGAAGTAATCCATCGTTCTCCGATCCAAAAATTTGCATAGTTTTGTTTCTTAAACCCAAATTTTCACCAAGTTGAATTGTATATATCAAACATCAAATATCAAGTAGCAAAAAAGTTATTTGCTACTTTTTTTTCCCCCAAAAAGTAGCAAATTTATTTTCTCAAGTTTTGTAAAACTGAAAGATTAATGCAACTGATTTGCTGTTTTTTGTTTCCACATTTATTTTTTAGTTTTTCAAAACAAAAATTTAGATGAATGTCAAAATCTACTGAATTACAAAAGTTTCGCAAGTCAGTTTTTTACATTTTTATGAAATGTGTATCCATCTTTGTTTTTTTTTTTGCGGTCAAAACGTACAAACATTTATTACGTGAGATTTGCTCATAAATGAGATTTCTTTTCGGATCTAGAATAATTACTAGAATCACAATTAGAGACTGTAATATATGATATACACAATCCTCTGTTATCTTCTATAATAAAATAACTGTAACTTTGATGCTTTGTTTTGCTTCATTGGGAAGGTAATAAAATCTTGTAGCCCCAGAAGATATATATCGTAGGTTTCTGTAGCATTGGTAGCTAGGCGGTGAACAAATCTCATCCAAATCTCATCGATA